TTCAGGTCACTCTAGTTCAAAGTCCATGCTTTAAATATTGGTCTATACGCAATCAAAGAGCAAAAATAGCATATACACGCAGGAGAATACTGTCCACCCAACTTGGGTGCACACAAACCCAACCAAATGATGATAAAACCAGCAGAATTGGCCAAATATTAAGTATTAGTTGTATGCCAGGAAAATCAAATTTTTTTGAGAAATCCATTTAAACATCTCTAGGAGGATACTGAGGCTCATTGAGGTTAGGAGAAGTGGACACAGGCACATAAGAGGGATTGGGTAAGTGTCCGACCACCATTTCTGAAGTTGGCCGTCTCCCACTATGCCGTATCACATCATAGGCAGGAACTTCAGCATAATGAAAGAGAACATTCTTATAATTATTCTTTTCAACCCACTAAGGCTTTAAAAAGTAGGATGTGCGCCCTCAGAGAGAAATCTCCCTACTGTGAAGGTGTTCAGCTAAGGTGCTTTAAAAGGGGACCCTGTGCTGGTGGGGGCTGCACAAGACATCCCTTGGCTCTGAGGGCCTATGGGTAGTGAGCACTAACCAGAGACTAGGTACAGGGTGGAGTCGATCTGTAATTCAGAAACACAGGCTTGGTGTTTTCAAGGCTGGCTGCTAGGCAGAAGGGAGGCCTTAGCCACCCAGTCCCAGAACACAAGTCCACCTCTTAGAGTCCTACCCTGACTCCCATTCCCTTGACTGCCCCCCATAGGGGAGGAGGCATTGGCACCTGGCCTGGGCAGAGGATCATGTGGATGTGGCGGTCCCTCTGCACATCTCAGGGGCCGCCGTTTGCCCAGGCCTTTCCCTTTTTTGAGAACTGGGAGCTTGCTGGCTGGGTCTGTTCCCACCAACAGTGTTCCCGTCCAGGGAGCTTAAAATAGTGCCTCTTGGCTGGGGCTCTGGAGTGAGCAGTGAGGCAGGCATTTGTGCAAATATGGGCCTGGGAGAAAGACTCCTACCCAGGAGGGTGGCGGGCGGGGTGGGCAGCATGGCAGGAGAGCCAAGACCTCCTGTGGAGGATGCGCCCTCCTGGCCACAGCCCCCTCCATCTCGCAGCAGAGGCGCCTGTTAGTCTCCTGCCTCCCCAGACCTTACTGGGCCACTCGGGCAAGTCTTTACACTGAATCCCACAGGTCCTCCTGGCTCTAGGGTGGACCCGTTGGAAACGGGGCCGCTGCGTTCTTCAGCAGGTTCTATCCTTGTTCCCGCTGTACCATGCCCTTCCCACCTAAGAACATTCCAGAAGCAACCTTGAAGGCCCAAATCACTACCTGTTTTAACAAGAACAGTGACAACAACAGCAGCTACCTTTAATTAAGCATTTGCTTTTGTCGGGCACTCTGCTAACTGCTTTAACATGCATGATCTCATTTGATCTTCACAACGTTCTAGCCAGGCCAAGTTATAATCTCTACTGTGCAGAAGAATCTGAGGCTCAGAGAAGTCAAGTGACTGTCCCGAGGTCACACAGCTGTGAACTGGTAGAGGCAGGATTAAAACTCAGATCTGTGGATCTCTAGAGTCTGAACTCTTACCCCTGGGCTATCCCCCACCCCCTCTACAGGTCCCTGTGGCTCGGGCCTCCCATTTTCCATCCCATCATTAACACTCCATATTGCATACAGCTGGCTTGAAGCAATGCATCAAATACCTTGTGAATACCTACTACGTGCCAGGAGCGCTGCTGGGTGCCGTGCTCACGCCCTGGGAGCTCTCAGATCCTCTTGAGGACTCTGGTTTGGGCTTGGGCTCAGTGACCTCCCCAGCACTCATGGTCCAGTTCGTTTGAGGATGTCATGGGGAGGCCTAGGCAAGCACTGGCCCTCCTCCATGACCAGCTGGACACCTCCCACCCGCTCCTGGCTGTGACTCTCCTCTCCTTCCCCTCACTGCAGGGGACAGCATGTACACTAATCAGACAACCTTGCTTTGAATCCTCTGTGACTTTGGGCTCCCTGAGCCTCAGTTTCCTCGTTCGTAGATGAGGGATAAAATTAGGACCTCACCACAGGGTGGCTGGGAAGATTTACTGAAACAATGCTCACGAAGGACTTAGCACAGTGCCTGGCAGTCAGTAAATAGACAGTAAGCAGTAGCTATTATTATTACTAATTGTTATTTCCTGAAAATTCTGATGTCCAGCAGACAAACGCCTGGGGCCCAGCACATGGTGGATGCTCCAAGCGAAGGAATCATTCACACAGCAGACAGAAGCCTGCACCCCATCCTTGCCCCACCCTCTTGGCAGCCTGTGCCATTGCTGCTCTGACATGGGAGGTGTCCCTGGAGCTGGACCCTGACAGTAGGGTCGCTCGGGAGGCCAGAGGGCAGGCACAGGACCCGTGCCGCGTCACCTGGTCCCCTCAGTTTCAGCGCCAGGGCCCATTCCAGGGAAGGGGGCGGGGGATGCTTCCCTCAGGGCACGCGACACTCTTCAGGGTTGTCTGGCTTTCTGGTGGCGCCACCTGGTGGCGAGCACAGCGCCGCTTAAAGGCGGCCCTGCCGCCGAGGGCTCTGGTGGCCCTGAGCAAGACCACCCCCTGCCTCTCCCTTCCCAGCCCCCCCGCCCGGGGCCTCCGTTACGAGGGCCCACCACTTCCCGTGAAAGAAGACCTAAGGACCCCAACTTTGCTGTGGGGCAGAAACACTGACGCCCACGTTCTTAGGCCTCTCTCTCAGACCTAGGGTGGTCCCACTGTAGTCGGACAAGCTTCACGCTCAGGACATCCCTGAGGGCAGATGACCCTTCGGTGGTTTTCTCGAAACCTAGGCTGGAGGAAGGGACTGCCTTCCAGGCCTGAGATGGCTCAGGAATGGGAAACCCAGTGATGGTCACTCCCCAAGCACCTGCCTGGGTACCCCCACAGGTGTCCCCCTCCCTACTGGGAGGAGTCTGGGGCCCCAAGTCCCAGCCTGGCCCCACGCTGTCGGTACAAACTGCGAGGGAAGAAGAGACTGAGGTGTGCTCTAACTAGCCTCTCCTGACTCTGGCACTAATACTGAGGCCCACCCCCACCTGCCCCCTTCTCCTCCCGCCTGAAGTGGAGGTGGGGTGGGGAAGGTGAATGGAGTGGCTGAGGACTCCTGTAGCTCCCAGACCAGCTCCTGTGACGCACAGATTCCCAGGCCTGCGTTGTCAGAGCGCCGAGGCCAGGACCCCGGAGTCTACATTGACAAGCACCGAGCTGGAAGCCCAGACAGCTAGGTCCTGACTTTGGGATACAGAAGCAGGGGTGCATGTGGCCAGCAGGTAGGAGAGTGTGGTGGTTGCGGGGGGCCTGAGAAGCAGAGGACCCCCCTGGCAGCCAGGTCCCTATCTTTTCATTTCCCTTTCTCTGGATGCCGGCCCGGCCGGGGTGGGGGGTGGGGTCCCCCCAGCTGCATGCTGCTCCCGCCACCCGCCAGCAGCAGCAGAGGGGTAGCAAGGAGGCTGCCCCCATCCCTCACCCCCTCACACTAGCTCGGAGGACAGTGGGGTGGGGCTGGGGCGGCCTGGGATGGGAGTGGGGGCCCTTGCTGCCTGAGGAGGTATTTTCAGAGTCCCCCTCCCTCTGGAGTTTCCAGTGATAGAATAGAGTCCTGTCTAGTATTTGACCAAATATGGTGGTATCTCTCGATGAGCTCCAGCCTCAGCCAGTTTCTCAGTTATGCTGTGGAAACCTGCCCCGGACAGATTAATCTTGTGACATTCGGCAGCGCGTCGCACTCTGTGTTCTCCCCCTCGGCCTATTCCTGTAAATGGCCAGGAGTGGCCCTCAGCACGACGGTGCAGTCCGAGATGTTTGTTCATTCACCGTGTCCCTCCCTGTCCTCTGCACGCTCTCTCCTACCCTCCTCCGCCTCCCTGGGCGGACTGGCTCCCTCAAATCAGGCTGGACTGTTCGCTTGAGCGAAGAGACCTGGACCCTCGGGACTGGCCAGTTCAGCGTGGGGTTTCAGGACCCGTAGCCCCTGGGGTCACCCCAGCTCACCACATTGTGGCCGGAGCCTGTGAAGCCCGGAGCTCTCTCGGGGGGTCCAAGGGGCAAGGAAGGAGAGTTGGCTGAGCGATGAGAACCACGCTGGCTCTCATGCTAATTAGAATAGCTAATGTTTGTAATAACAATTATGTGATTATTTCATCATAATAATTTTCGTCATAAACAGCTAAGTGTTTATTGAGCACTTACTACATGCCAGGGACTGGGCCAGCTGTTTAACATGGCTTGTTTCCTTTCCTCCTTTTAACAGCCCCATGTGGCGGCCACTGTCATTACCCCCATTCTAGGGAGGTGGGAAGTGAGACTCGGAAAGATTTCGGGAAGAAATGGGCCAGGCCACTGTTGGCTCCCGGGCATGACTCCCATTCTACAGAGAAGGAAACTGAGGCTGAGAAAGAGTCAAAGTGACAGACAGCCACACAGGAGTGAAGACCCTCTACCCCGGACGGGGAGCCCTACATCGGGAAGGCCAGAACAACCAGCCACAAAGACCTCATGAACGGCGACTTGGCCCGCGGGAGAGCACAGATTCAGAAGCATGTTCGCGGCAGGCCGGAACTGTGCAGAAAATATCCCAAGACAAACAGCACGGGGTGGGGGAGAGAGCCCTGCACGGGGACCAGGTCTGAATCCCAGCTCTGTCACCTCGAACCCGCTGTGGAATCCTAGACGAGCCCCCTTCCCGGCTCTGGCCTCAGTTTCCCCGCCTGTGAACTAAGTGGGTGGGACGCCGATCACCCAGGGCCATTGAACTCACCTGAGGCTGGCTGAGGCCGGAGGGCCCGGGCTGTTTCCCTGGGAGATGGGGCCTGAGTCCCGCTCCTGGCCAGCACAGCCGAGAACATTTGCTCTCCTGACCAACGGACAGCCCGTCCCTCCTCCACCCTCACCCCCTCGCCGTCCCCAAAGCAAACGAAGCTGATTGTCTCAGCCGGCCCTGTGGGTGCTGGCCGGGTGGCTAGCCGCAGGCCACAGACGGAGGTGCCACCCGCCAGAGCCCCGCCAGACACACAGGGCATTGTCCCTCAGTCAACAGCCCCCGGGCACCTCGGCCCGGCTCCTGGCCTGCCCCACGCCCCTCGCCGCCTGCCGCTGCGCCAGGCCCAGCCAGCCGGGGCCGAGGCTCCCAGCTGATGACGAGCCCCCCCAGCCACCCCCCAGCAGCCCCCTGACGAGCTATAATTGCTTCGCTCCATCCTGTTGCTGCCATTCTCTTGGCGGAGGCATCTGGGCTTCCAGGCGGGCGGCAGCTGCAGGCCAACCGCCCGCCCGGGATGGACTGGCCGCACAACCTGGTACGTGGCGCTTCCCCACCCGCCCCACCCCCACCCCATTTTAGGGCCGCAGCGTCTCGTTCCTTCCTTCCTATTGATTAATGGCCGCCTCTGTTTGCCTTGGACTCTGCAGAGGCCGAGCTCTCCCTCCGCCGTCTCCCCCAGGGCGAGACAGAAACAGAGACGGTCTCAGAGCCGCAGCCCTGGCCGCCGGCTCAGGCCCCTGCACCCGCTCGGGCTCGGCCTCGCAGCGAGGCCCCTCCAGGCCGAAGCCATCGGGGGAGATCCTGGCAAACCCCGTTATGGGGGGGGGGGTCCAGAGAGTCCCCGGGGCCTGGGATCCAGGCTGTGTGACCTTGGGCAAGTCCTTCTGTTTCTGATCCCCAGGGAGGGGCGACTTTGGTTCTGTTCTGGGCTTCCCCGAGTCCATGTGAGAAGCGCAGAGGAGAGAGCCAATTGTTAAGGAGGCATTTTTCTGCACCGGGATCCAGGACCGGAAAGGAAGAATTGAGCGACTTGGTGGATTTTGCGCTGCCAGGAGGGGCTTTGCTGAAACTTGCTTCCAGGGGGCAGGACTTGCTGGATAGCCTGGAGAGTTCAAGCGTGGGCTGTGCAGGTGGTGAGGGGAGTGACTCAGGGCAGGTGGGCCCCTGGTTAGACTCAGGGACCGGCTGAAACCCCCCTGAAGAGTCCTGCCTTCTGGAGAGTCCTGGGCCCCACCCACGTTCTGGCCCTTGTCTCCCCTGCTTGCTGAGGAGCCTGGGTCCTCAGAGCCTGGGCACTCCTGCCAGCTCCCTGGGGCTTCTCCTGAGCAGGCCAGAGACTTGCCTGACACTCTCGGTTCAGTGGGGGGAGAGGGGGAGGATGGTTGGTGAGGTTGGATTCGGGTGTGTAAGGCGTGGATGGGGTGGGTGCGGAGGAGGGGAGCACAGGGGTCACGACATCCAACAGGGATCCTCAGCCTTGATGCCCCTCTCCCCACCTTCATCTCACGCTCCCTCCCCTGCTCGCTCTAGTTCAGGCTTGTGGTTTCCCTAGCAAAGCTCTTCACCAACTCAAACCTCCTCTCACATTGACCCCACCCCACTGTGAGGTATTTAGACTCCCCCCGCCCCCTCCCCCACCTCCCCTCCCTCTTACCCTTCACCTCACCTTGCCCGGTCCCCAGAAAGGTCCCCAGAAAGGCCTTGCCGGGCCGCTCCACTGCCACCAGACTGAGCGGGTGGCCCTGATCTCTAGCCACATGCAGCCACCTCTTCCTCAGCAACAAGCCCCAAGATATTTAGGGGCTTGTTCCTTGCCTACCCTGTGTCCCCCTTCTCCCGGACCGTGAGCTACAAGAGGGCAGGCATAGTGACAGCCGTTTAGGGACCCAGGCACAGGGGATGAGACAGTATGTGGAAACCATGGCAATGGCTGTCCACATGGAGTCTGTGCTTAGTGGCGGAGGGTATGTATAAAAGAGCCACACACACAAACTAAGTCTGTAGTCAAGCAACGAGGGCGTGTGGTATTGAGAGCCCAAGAAAGTCCCCTAAGGCATCCCTGAGGGTGTGACACTGGGCTGAGACATGAGGGGTAAGTGGCATTTAGAAGGGGAGGGGAGGCAGGACTCTGCAGATGGCAGCCTGTGCAAAGGCCCTGTGGCAGGAAGGAGCATGGTGGGAAGAAGGGCTTGAGAGCAGGCCAGAGACCAGAGCACAGGAGTGAGAGGAAGCCAGGGGTGATCTGAGGAGGCAGAGGTCAGACTGTGTGGCGGAGTCGGGGTGTTGTTACCTCCAGGGGGAACTGTTAGCTGGAGGGTGACATTATCAGATTTGCATTTCAAACAGCTGTGCTGGTCCACAATCTGGAGAACCAATAGAAGGAGCCAGGGAGGATTTGGGGAGACCAGGTAGGAGGCTTTTGAGGGAAGTGAGGATGGTTGCTCGGATAGAGAAATGGAAGGGTGGGGAGATGTTTAAGAGGTGCCAATGTAGGACTTAGCGATGACTATGGTACATACACACACGTGTGGTACACATGTGGCAGCCGGGCGGGACCAGGCCAGGCATGGCCAGCGAGGGTGGTCCCCGGCAGAGGCTCTCTTCCCTCTCTTCTCCCTGGGCCTCCAGTCTTGGCCCAGAGGGAGACCCGGCTCTCCTACCTTTGACGTGTGGCCTTCTTCCCCAGCTGTTCCTTCTCACCATCTCCATCTTCCTGGGGCTGGGCCAGCCCAGGAACCCCAAAGGCAAGAGGAAGGGGCCAGGGCGGCCTGGCACCCTGGCTCCAGGGCCCCACCAGGTGCCGCTGGACCTGGTGTCCCAGGCGAAGCCATACGCCCGCATGGAGGAATACGAGAGGAACCTCAGCGAGATGGTGGCCCAGCTCAGGAACAGCTCTGAGCCGGCCAGGAGGAAGTGTGAGGTCAACCTGCAGCTGTGGCTGTCCAACAAGAGGAGCCTGTCACCCTGGGGCTACAGGTAGGCCGGGCTGGGCAGCCGTGGGCAAGCTGCCTGGTGGCGGCGAGGGGGACACTGTGCTCACTGTTGCCATCACGGTCATAGACCTGGGATTCAGAGATCTGGGTGCCTGGTTTGATTCCTGGTTCTGCTTCTTACCAGCTGTGTGGCTTAGGGCAAGCTTAGCTTCTCTGAGCCTCAGATTCCTCAGTGTAAGTAGAGGTGATACTGGTTAAAACTTTGTAGGTTTTTTTTGGGTTTTGTTTTTTAATTTAAATACAATTAGCCAACATATAGTACGTCATTAGTTTCAGAGGTAGAGGTCAGTGATTCATCAGTTTCATGTAACACCCAGTGCTCGTCACATCGTGTGCCCTCCTTGATGCCTGTCACCCAGGTAGCCATCCCCCCACCACCCACTCCAGCAACCCTCAGTTTCTTTCCCAGAGTTAAGAGTCTCACTTCATAGGTTTTATAGGCTTGTTATTAAATGAGCTGTCGAGGCAGAGCCTGGGCATTATGGTTCATGTCCCCACTGAAGCACCTGCAAGGCTTTCACTTCCTCTGCTTTGGCGTGCCTTGTACACACCTCCTAGTTACAGTACGCACAGGTGGCAGTGAGTTGCTGTGTCCACATCCATCTCACTTTTGAATGACTGGCACATTCCCAGGGCCTGCATCAGAGTCATGTAAGAATTCTCGTGCCCCACTCAATCACAGTCTCCAGGAAGAGGCCCAGAAAATGATATTTTATACATCTCCACATGATTAGGGTTCACAGCCAGGTTTGCGAGTCAAGACCTGCCATCTCTAGATGATATGGTCGGTGTCTCACCTTGGCTGTAGCTCTACTTCTTTCTTTCTTTTTTTTTTTTTAAGATCTTATTTTATTATTTACTCATTCATGAGAGACACAGAAAGAGAGGCAGAGACACAGGCAGAGGGAGAAGCAGGCTCCATGCAGGGAGCCTGATGTGGGACTCGATCCCAGGTCTTCAGGATCACACCCTGGGCTGAAGGTGGCGCTAAACCCCTGAGCCACCCTGGCTGCCCTGGCCAAATATTTTTCCCTGGACAACTTAGGTCCTGAGACTCTAGCAGAGAGTTCTCTACTTCTAAGCAGAGAACCTTCTAAGCAGAGAACCCGCAGAGGAGGCCAAATGTATATGTGTTGAATGAATAATGAAGAAGTAGACTAACTGGAAGGGTCCTCACTCACTAATCAGGCCAAAGATTTTTGTTTAAAGATTTACGAGAGAGAGAGAGAGAGAGAGAGGGAGAGAGAGAGAGAGAGAGAATCTCAAGCAGACTCCTCCCTGAGTGTGGAGCCCAAAATGGGCCTAGTCTCATGACCCTGATTTCATGACCTGACCTGAAACCAAGAATCAGATGCTTAACCACCTGAGCCACCCAGGCACTCCCTGGCCAAATATTTTTCCCTGGACAACTTAGGTCCTGAGACTCTAGAAGAGCATGTTCAATAGAACCTTCTGTGATGATGTCAATTCTAACATGGTAGGCATTAGCTTGATGTGGCTATTGAGCACTTGACATGCAGTCATGCAACTGAGGAACTCATTTTGATTATTTTATTTATTTATTAATTAAAATTTTATTTATTTATTTGAGAGAGAGCAGAGAGAGAGGACACAAGCAGGGGGAGCGGCAGGCAGAGAGAGAAGGAGAAGCACACTCCCCACTGAGCAGGGTATACAGGACTCCAGCACCATGACTTGAGCTGAAGGCAGATGCTTAACTGACTGAGCCACCCAGGCCCCCTATTTCATTTATTTTACATTTATTTATTTTAATTGAAGCATAGCTGACTAATTTTGATTGACTTACAGTTAATAGCCACATGTGGCTAGTGGCTACCATATCTGGAGTGTGGCAATTGGAAGGGTCTGTAAAGATCCCGCAAAATTGGGCTTCCAAACTTTCTGTGCCCTTGATTTGGGGGGCGGGGCATCTTTTAAAAATGCAGTTTTGGATTCAGGAGGTCTGGGGTAGGGATAATTCTGCATTTCTACCAAGCCCCTGGGTGATGCGGATGCTACAGGTCCTCAGTGAAGCTCTCCCCGCCAACCCCCACCTTAGCAGATGAGAAAGCTGAGGCATGAGGAAGGCGAGGTCACAAAGCAGGTCCCTATGCTCTCGGCTCGAGGAGGGAACCTGTCTGTGTTGTCCCTCAGCGAACACCTAATGTCTAGGACAGATTCACTCCTGCGGTGGGTGGTGAAAAGTGTGTCTTGAATGAAGAGAACCGCAGTCAGAGTAGAACCCAGGCCTCCTGACTCCGCTTCTGGGGAGGAGGAGGCTCAATGTGCTCATATATCATTTCCCCGTGGAGGACATTCCCCAAGAATAGAAGCGCGTGGCCGGGGAGCAGAGAAGGCCCTAGGCTCATTGCGACCCCACAGGGCAATCTAGTCCTGGGACGGGCATGGGCACCGATTTGCCCTGTCGCGATGGCCACCTGCCACTCAGTGTTCTCTCCTGCCTCCCTGCAGCATCAACCACGACCCGAGTCGCGTCCCTGCGGACCTGCCAGAGGCGCGGTGCCTGTGTCTGGGCTGCGTGAACCCCTTCACCATGCAGGAGGACCGCAGCATGGTGAGCGTGCCCGTGTTCAGCCAGGTGCCCGTGCGCCGCCGCCTGTGCCCGCTGCCACCGCGCACCGGGCCCTGCCGCCAGCGCGCCGTCATGGAGACCATCGCGGTGGGCTGCACCTGCATCTTCTGAACCCCGAGCCTGTGGGTGGCCAGAGACCACCCTCCTTACACTCCCACGCCAAGCAAGGCCGATGAAAAGTGAAAAGTAAACGTGTCTTTTGTTGAGCAAGACCTTGGGTTTGCTCCTTGAGGCTCCAAAGCCGGAACCTGGATGGGGATAGGAGGTTTGGGAGGTAGATCAATATGAAGGAGGATATTCCATCCCTCAGAATTCTCCCAACACTGGGATAGGTTATTTTAAAAATCCCGCTTTCATTTCTGCCATGTAGGGCAGTCACATCCTTCCTTTAATTTGGGTGTATAAGCCTGTTTCAACCAAGTTATTGGAGCTTGGTTGATATAGACGTATATAGGAGTGAGCAAGCACTAACTCTCCCCAAATAAGTCAAGGACAATTGCAGACAAGTCTTAGGAAGCGGTAAGCTCCTCGTCTCTGGGACGGCCCAGTAGTGCTGAGGCTCTATGGATACTGTGGAGCTGGTTGGAGTAAGTGGCCTGCAAGGTCTCTTTCAGCTCCGAGATTCTCTGCAGGTCAGCCAGCCGCCTTAGATCCAGAGAAGAGCCTCTGGGTTGTCAAAGAGTGGGGGTTTTTAGCCTGGGCCAGCCAGCCGCTGAAAATTTCATGTGGGTATGCATTTTTCTGGGCTGAGATCCCTTGCTTTGAACCAACACTCAAGAGTTGAGAAGCACCAGTGTAGATTCTTCCAGCCTATGTACCAGGGGATCTGGCTAGACGGTTCGCTGATATCTCAAACTTTAGCAAGCACTAGAATCACGGGGAGGGCTCATTAAAACACAGATTGCTGGGCCCTGCATGCAGTGGTTCTAATTTAGGTGGGAGCTGACACTTGGCTTTTCTTTCCTTTTCTTTTAAAAAAGATTTTACTTATTTATTTGAGAGAGAGAAGGTGCGCATGAGAGAGCACAAGTGGGCAGGAGGGGCGGAGGGAGAGAGAGAAGCAGACTCCTCACTGAACAGGGAGCCTGACTCTGGGCTTGATCCCAGGATCCCAAGATCATAACCTGAGCCAAAGGCAGATGCTTAACCAACTGAGCCACCCAGATGCCCTAGAAACTTGGCATTTCTAATGTAGTGGTTCCCAGGTGATACTGATGTGGCTTATCTAGGGGCCACACTTGGAGAGCGACTGGCTTTATTTTTGCTTTTGTTTTTTATTTAAATTCTAGTTAATTAACATATAGTGCAATATTAGTTTCAGGAGTAGAATTTAGTGATTCATCACACCCAGGGCTCATCATAACAATACCCATCTTCCTTCTAGCCCATCCCCTCCCTCCCTCCATCAACCCTCTGCTGAGAACCACTGGTTTATATCAAGACACTTTGATCAAAAAGGCAGTGTGAATTGACTTGTCCTAAAGCCCCGGCTCGTTCCTGCCCCCAGATAACTCCCTGTTCCCCCCGTTAGCTCCTTGCAACTCAATCCTCCCCCTGACCTCCTAGCCCCTGCAGCTAGTCCTAAATCAGCTGTTCTAGGGTCTAAAAATACCTTCCCTGCCCCAAGACAGCTGAGGGGCTGAGGCTCTTTTCTGAGGGTAAGAATAGCTGGCACTTCAGAGTTCATTTCAATAAAGAGGGCCAACCGCCAATACGGGGATACTTTGCTTGGCTACTCTACCTTCAGCTTTAGCTCTGAATGTTTTAAGAGTCTAATTCATGAAAGGGCAATGATTAGGTATGCGCCTGTCTGGGTCGGTAAGCAACTTACCTTTTTTGGTATTGTTCTAGAGTGGATACTGGTTAAAATTACCCCAGGAAGCTTTGGCCTGGTTCCAGACACATGGAAAATAGATTCCATGTGCCAGCCCAACCTGATGCCTTCAGCAGCCGTTCCACCTCCCTGGAGTTGTTTATTTCCGAGGCCCCCACAGCCTGCTCTCCAAGTCTTAGGACCTCAGTGGCGCACGAGGGACCCAGAGCCTCCAAGGCCTTGTTGTGGGGTGAGGACATGAGAAGAACTGAGCTGCTGGAGGGTTGCTCTGGTCTTGGGAGACCTTGGGTTCCCTGAGGCATAGGGGTTGGGTGGGGAAACTCCTCATCTGGGTAGGACAGGCTGTCCTATTCCTACCAGAGCATCAGCCGCACAGAGATACTCAATAAATGCCAGTTAGTTTTATATGGATGTTGGTTGCTGTTTCCACTTCCTGGGCTTTGATATCCTCATCTGTGAAACGAGCAGATGGGATTTAGGATCTTTGGGGTCTTTTCCAGTGTTACCATTCTGTAGCTTAGGAATGTGGACTCATGAGCCTGGGCTGGCAGCTGGTCCTTCCCAGTCCCTTGGTTTAAAGGCAGCAGCAGAGGGCACCTGGGTGGCTCAGGTTGTGATCCCGGGGTCCTGGGATCGAGTCCTGCGTCAGGGTCCCTGCAGGGAGCCTGCTTCTCCCTCTGCTTGTGTCTCTGCCTCTCTCTCTCTCTCTCTGTATCTGTCATGAATAAATAAATGAAATCTTAAAAAAAAAATAAGTGCAGCAGCAGGAAGCTCAGGACCTTTGGTAGTCCAAGGAGAGCACTGGGTCTACCCCGTGCCCAGGAACCGCCTTTGGTTTGAGTCTAGGTGTGTTTCATGTTTTGCATTGCCTGGTGAGAACCCCCCATTCCACGAGAACAGGGGCCTTATCTGCCTCCTTCAGCGCGGCATCTTCAGCACCTAGCACGGTGTCCAGTGCGAAATAGGATGTAGCATTTGGTGAATGAATGCACGCTTGCACGCATGCACGCGTGCATGGCGGCCTCTAGGGGGAGCCCAAGATCTGCCCCAGCTCCTTCTGTAGCTCCTTCAAAGGTGGATCTGGAGCAAGGCACTCCTCTTGCCCCTGCCATTCCTTAATCATCCCCAGCTCTACCCTCCACAACTTCCCCTTCCTCCAAGTGTTGAGGTTTTGTCTAGATCATCTGCTCTAGGGGTGGAGTCCCTGCGAAGAGTTTTAAATGTCCACCTATTGTGTATGAGTGTGGACTCCCTTCTTAGTTTGGCAGATTTGGGAGCTAAGTCTCTACCAATGCCCTCTCCTCTCCCAGAGGGCTGTGGGCCCTTGGGGCCTTCTGTCCTGGTCTGAAAAGGCTAGGCTGGGCCTTGGGGCCACGATGGTCCCCATACTCCCTTCTGCTATCTTCAGGAATCTCTGGCTTAGAGGTGGTGAAATCTAGCTCCCAGGTTTAGGCTTGGGGAAGCGGGGCAGCAGGAAGTGTGGGCATTTTGGCCTGCTTTGGTTCTGAGCTGTTCAGACCTGTCTACCCAGATAAAGGCAGTTTCTGAAAAATGAGCCAGCTCCACTGTAGCTAGGGCATGGAGCCAAAGCCCCAGCCAAGGACTGGGGGTCAGGTGTAACTGTCCTGGTTTGCCTCTTCTGTGCACACAGCCTTAGGGATGCAAGGGAGGGATGGTTACCAGGGACAAGTCTGAAATTGGCCTTGGCCCCCTGGCCCAGTACCAGTGATCATCAAATGCACATCTTCATTTCAAACATAGACCATGAAAGGATGTCACTACATACTGATTCCACTGGCCTTGAGAAGGAGGCCAGGGCACTGTCCCATCCTGTGCGTGGTTGACATTGCACTGCTCTCTCACACCCCTTCCCCTTTCCCAAATTTGTACTTTGGAGGAGACCACCTCCGCTCCAGGGGAGGGACTTGACTGTTCTAAGCCAATCAGATTCATTTCATCCCCTGTGTCCTGATGATTGATCTGGCAGCCGAGTCATAAGCCAATCAGCACGCGTGGTATTTGCTGGGTCACAGTGAATTGGTTCAGCCGGGCCGAACTGGCCCAGAGTCGGCTTTGGTTCACAGTAGGGAGAGGCCTCTCCCCCTGGGCCCTGTTGGCAGCCCTCCTTGACCCAGAGAGAAGTGGCTCTGGCACTGCACGGGCTGATGCCTGCTTTGTGCCTGGATTCTCATAACCAATAAAACCTTTTTATTGCTTAGGCCAGTTCAAGGTTGGTTTTCTACTACTTCAGCCAAAAACGTTCTTAGTGGTGTGCCAATTTCATAATTGCTATAATAACTGACAAGTACACGCTCTTAAAGCACCATCTTCTTCACCGCCACCACTATCACCTCAGCACAGCAAAAACAATTTCGAGGCCAATTTGGGCCTCTACCTAGTTGCAGAGTATTTTGCCCCATGATGAATTCATTTTTTTTTTAAAGATTTTATTTATTTTAGAGAGAGAGATAGAGGGTGTGCCAAAATGAGCAAGGGGAGGGGTAGATGAGAAGAGAGGGAAGAGGAAAGAATCTCAAGCAGACTGCCCTGAGCACAGAGCCCGACCTGGGGTTCAATTCCAGGATCCTGAGAGCATGACCTGGGCTGAAACCAAGAGTCAGATGCTTAACTGAGTGAGCCACCCCGGCACTCCTGAATTCAGTTATTTTTAGGGAGAAGCTCCAGATTTAAGCTCTCTGAACTCACCAAGAGACCTTGGGCAAGTTATTTCCTCATGCTGGGCTGTTGTGGTCATCTCCACAGAAAGAAGGAAGTTCACTGGATGACTTCAGGAGCCATTCCTGTTAGGAAAGCCACAGTATCAGTGGTGTTTGGCAGTGCTGTGTCCTTGTGGCCTCTGGGCCCTCCCTCAGGGCCAGATATAGCAGGTCTGGGTGAGAGTTGGGCATCAGCCTCAGGTTAATCTCAGAACTCCATCCCAACACCTTTTCTTCCTTTCTTCTGCTGGAGTGTATATAGCTGCGGGTGAGGTAGCACCCCCCTCCACCATCTGAGAACTTGTATTTTTTTTAAAGGATTTTATTTATTTATTTATCAGAGACACAGAGAGAGGCAGAGACACAGGCAGAGGGAGAAGCAGGCTCCCTGTGGGGAGCCCGATGCAGGACTTGATCCCAGGACCCAGTGAGCTAAAGGCAGACACTCAACCACTAAGCCACCCAGGTGCCCCCCGGGGAACTTGTATTCTTGGAAGAAAGATCCACTGTATTACTCTTCAACCCTTGCATAATGGACAGCATGGTCAACTGTCCCAGGTGCCACGGAAAAGCTTTCCTCTTCCTAAGGTGGGGTGTATTTCCCTTTTTCCACTGGTTGCCAGGAAGCTCAGAGCTATACTAACAGCTTCACTGAGGTAACCATCTCTTCTGTGGGTCCTACTATAGTCATCTCCCATTATGCAGTGTCATTGAGAGGTTTGGGTGGTAATAGCTTAACAAGTTAAGACATATCTAGCAAGTGCCCAATAAATAGGAGCTATTATCATGTCTTATGTTTTCTGATCTCCCCTTTATTTATAACCATCTGGTATAGGTCTATATTTTTTTAAATTTATTTGAGAGAGAGAGAGAGAAACTAGCAAGGGGAGGGGCAGCAGAGAATCTCAAGCTGACTCCTTGCTGAATGCAGAGCCCGGCATGGGGCTGGATCCCAGGACCCTGAGATCTTGATTTATGCTGAAATCAAGAGACCGATGCTTAACTGATGGAGCCACCCAGGCGCCCCTGGTACATGTGTTTCATTGTGGGTGCTGCCTCACGTACATTTTGGGAGAGGGAATGAAAAGCAATCAAGAAATATGACTCCACATTCTCTGCCCCTTATTTCCTCCCAGTTATCCCTGTCTTCTAGTTAGAAAACCAAGTCAGAAGAAGCTGGAGAGGATGAATTTTTATTTCTTCTTAAAAAAAATAAATAAAATGAATACCTAGGCTTGAATTTCCTTCCCTTCTCTTATTGTCCTCCTTAAAATGAAGCAAACACTGTGAAAGTCCTTAAGATAGAGAGGCAGAGAGTGGGCCATCTGGACCCACACTGGAAAGAGAAGCAGCTTGATGTATGAGGGGCTGGAAAGGCTTGGCGGGGGAGCACAGCCTGGACAACTGAGGCCGCTGTGGGGGTCAGGAGGTAGGGGAGGAGGGGGTGGGATCCATCTTCAGCAGGGGATGGATGGCCCAGGTTCACTGTGAAACCCTCACAACTCGGTCTTCACTTTGTGCATCAAATCCTTTTGGTCAATCTTGTCTAGGTCCTGGTACCAGCGGTTGTAGGCCAGCAGGGCCACGTTCTTGGCAGCCACAGCCATCACTTCCACAGAGCTGGCCGCCCACTCCAGGGCATTGAGGTGGAAGAGCTGGTCATGGAGGGCGAAGCGCGGGAGGGTGCTGTGGGGGCCGTACACGGGGTGGGCCCGCCACTCAGCTGTCTGCACGGAGTAATAGGAACGGAAGAGGGTCTTCAGCTGGGACCGCAGGAGTGGCTTGGGGGACTGGACTCGCCAAACAGCGGCCTCCTGAGGCTGCTTCCGCCGGAAGTTGGCTGAGATGTTGACAGGACAGATGTTGTCCAGAGAGCAGAAGAAGTTTGGAAAATCTGTGGTGAGGATGCTGGCAAAGGGGAAAAGCTTAGGGTCGGGGAAACGGAAGTAGGAAGAGTTGAGGTAGCCATGGACCAAGGAGACCACGGTGGGCTGGAAAGAGCCCTGGGCAGCATCGATGGGTGGGTCAAAGCCTTCAAAGGTGATGCCACTGCTGCCGTTGTCCAGGTGCAGGGGGGTGGCAATGACCACGATGTCATAGAAGTCAGAGCCATTGCCCACCTCGTTCTCATACTCTACATAGTATAAGGGTTTCCCTTCTAGAAAGAGACAGAATAGAGCACAAAAGTCCATTTATTTCTTGTCCACAAGAAATACTACTGATCTCCACCTGGGGCCCAACGCAGAAGGTGCGGGGCTCTGAGTGCAGCTGGGCTGTCGGCATGGTGGGTCCTGGGCTTTCCATGCTGGTGTGGCTGCAGGGGGAGCACTGGACTGGGAGTCAGGAGCCCTGAGTTTTTGCTCTAGTTCTGCAGCTGACTAGATGGAGGGACTTGGGCAAGGCTGAGTCTCAAAGTCCTCAGTGGTCAAATGAACTGGGGCTGGCTGAAAGCAAGGCTCAGCTTTCTGGCTCTGACATTTGAATCAGGATGACAGTGCCCTCTGGTGTCACTCGGCAGTGCTGGGGCTTCTCAATGGCTTTTTTGGAACCACTCTGCAGCCTTTCACAGACCAGGGTTTAGGGATAGACTGGTGGAAGTGTTCCTGGTCTAGGAAATGGGAGTGGCCATGCGCCCTGCTCCGCTCACTCACCTGTATTTTGCAGGGTCACAGAGGTCACTGTGGCATGGATCACGTTGGCCTTGGTGAGCTTCAGCAGACCGGAACAAACCAGCTTGTTGCCTCCCTCAACAGACCACAGGCTGCCCTGGGCCCCGGCTAATGACATGGCTCCTGGGCAAAGGGGGAGAGTGGCCAGTGGGTTCTCAGTATCACTGGGCTGTACGGCTGGAGAGTCCAGCCCCATCCTACATGCTGAGCCTCTGTCTCAGGCCAAGACTCCCCAACACGGGCACAGAGAGATAACACAAATACAACAAAATTCACAATGCTATGTGAAAATAAGCTCCGTGCAAGAGCCATCTGTAAAAGATCATGGATGGTAAGATTCTATTTATACAGGATGTCCAGAAGGGACAAATCCATAGAAACACAGAGTGGATTTATGGTTACCCAGGGCTAGAAGGCGGGGACGAGGGCTTGTTGGGGAGGTGATGGCTATAGGTTAGGGTATTCTGGAGGCAATGAGAATATTCTAAATTTGATTGTAATAATGGGTGCACAACTCAAAACCATTGAGTTGTTCACTTTAAATCGGTGAATTGGGGGCACCTGGCTGGCTCACCTGAATTTTGATCTCAGGGTTGTGAGTTGGAGCCCCTTGTTGGGTGTAGAGATTACTTAAAAATAAAATCTTTTAAAAAATTAATGGGTGAATTGTATATGAATTATATCTCAAAGGATACACACAAAATATTGGAAGACTGAGCACGAGAGCCTCGCTGAGGGGACACCTGGTGGGACTTGAAGGCAGGGAAGGAGGCAGCCATGCCCACAGCCAGAGGGATAGCATCCTGGGCACGAGGGAGATGCTTGTTAAATACAAACTTTTCCATCCATTTATTCAACATAATTGGGCTGCCCATGCCCATGCCCATGCTTCCAATAGTCCAGGCCCTGTTCTAAGGGTTTGGGATACATCAGTAAACAAAGGAGACAGAGCTTCCTGCCCTTGGGGAGCCTTCATTCTAGTGGGAAGAGAGGAAAGGAGTAAATGAAATAGGTGGCTAGAAGCTGATGGCACTGCTGGGTAGGGAGACTGGCACTGCTGGGGGCAGGAGGAGGCATCCATGTAACTGAAAACTGGGTGGTGGGGTACCTTCAATGAAAAGGAACATCTGCACAGAGACATGGTAGGGAGCAAGAGTTTACTATGACTGTCTTAGGGAAGAATGTTCCAGGTGGATGGATGGCCAGCCAAAATCCCCAAGGTTCGAGGGCAGCTGGAACCCTAGAGACATGCAAAGGAGGCTGGAGTGGCTGGACTGGGGTGAGTGAGCAGGGAGGTGGTGGGGCCTAGACCACAGAGGGCCTTGTAGGCCATTAAGAGGACTCTGGCTTTTACTTGGAGGCAGGTGGGAACCCTCATGGAGTTTTACATGCAGGCTTGACCTGACGCGGGTTTCTTAAAAGTATCATCCAGCTGATACATTGAGAATAGCCAGCTGGGGGAAGGGGGGCCTGGCAGCAGACTTGCAGTAATGGGGTGAGGGATGCTGATAGGTTAGACCAGGGAGGACATGGTGGTGGGAAGCAGTCAGATTCTGGATATATGTGGAAGGCAAAGTAGATGAGATTTCTTCCTGTCTGTCTGTCTTTCCTTTCTTTTTTTTGCAGATGAGATTTCTTGACCTACCATGTGATGGGTATGAGAGAAAGCACGAGGCCAGGTTTGGCCTAGAGCAACAGAAAGGAGCTATTCCAACCCAGCTGGGAAGACTCTAGGAGAGGCAGACTAGAGGGGGAAGGTCAGGAGAGCTCAGGTCTGGCGACACTGAGTGCTCCCCAGGCCTCCCAGTGGAGACATAAGGGTGGGACCTGATGTGTGAGTCTGCAGCCTGGAGGAAGGCCTGGGCTGGAGGTCATGCTTGGGAGTCGGTGGGTGGAAGTGTGAGTAGTTGAGGAGAGGGCCAAGGACTGAACTGGCACCTTCGTGTTAGGCGGCTAGGAGAAGAGAAGGACCTGGCTCGCGCTGGGGGTTGCCAGGTTTTGCCTATGCCGCTGGCCCCAGTGGGGCACGTCCTGGAACCAGCCCAATCAGGACTGGTGGAAACACACTGGACCTAAGATCTGAGCTTTGCTTCCATATCTGAGAAGCGGGGTGAACACCATCTCCTGCCAGCCCGGAGGACCAATGACAGAATGAAATAGGGTTGAGGCAATAAGGTGTGTAGGCAACTGTACTGAGCCTGGTAAACGTGAGGTTGTTACAGGGAGACCAGCCCATTCTGGGCACCATGGGCCAGGGGAGGGTAGGAGGCCAAGGGCCAGAGGCTCACCAGCAAAGGCGGGCATCGCTGCGGACTGGCCATAGCTGGCCCGCAGGACGGCAGAGACCACGTCGTCGATAAAGCGCTGAGTGACACCCACTTGGAGCAGGGACTCGGCCACAGAGCGCTGGGTCATGTTGACAAAGGCAGACTCCCCGAGCGAGTAGAGCAGCTCCTCCACGCCTGAGAAGGCGTAACCATGGGCCTGGTACTTATAGATCCTGGAAGACACACAGAGTTGGAGCTCTCGTGCAGAAAGGCCTTTTGGCTGACCCCCTACTCCTGACTGACTGCACCCAGGAGGCCCAGAAGGACCCTGCCCCTCCTCTCCATGTGTGTGGGGGGGTGGTGAGAGAGGAGTTGGTTATTTGGCCTGTTTGTCCACTCTGGGGGGCCCCTAACTATAGGGACAGCATGGAGGGTAGGGCAAATACCCTGGAACCCCACTAGACCTGGCTTCACATCATGGCTCTGCTAAATGACAACTACTCTGAGGTGTGACATGGGGAGAGTGGTGAAGTGCCAGGACCCAGCAAGGAAGCTGAGGGGTCATCCTGAATGTCTGTGCCTAGGCCAGGAAGCAGGGAGGACCTGCAGGGGAGACCTGGAGCACCAGCTGGCGAGTGCGTGAATGGCGAGAAGTGGACAGAGTGACATGGGGCCACTCGTCCTCATTATCTGGAGGAGTGGGGCAGGAGGCTGGGGCCCAAGGAGGAGGGAAGTGGTGAAAAAAGGAGTTTGTTCTAGATGAGAAAACTAAACTGGGGGACAGTTGGGCTTGGAGGTGCATGGCCTGCAAGCTGCATGAGGCCTACGGATATGCTTCGTTTGGATTTATGAGTTGGTTGCATATATTGAAAAACCAGGAGATTTCATACACAACTCTGCATCTCTAGCTTCTTCTAAAAAGCTGGAAGACCCAGGCACATGTGGTCGGCATTCACACCTGGCCATCGCTGGCTCTAGCAGTGACAGCTGCCCCCTTCAGATGGGCCCTGTTCTTCGGGGCGCCCCACTCCCTACCCTTCTCTTCCACCAGCTGCTTCCACTGACTCACCGTCCCCACCCCCAGGTATGCCCTTGTAGGTGGCTGCATTTGCAAGCCCCCTCATTCCTCAGTCTTGCAGAGGGAAGGAAAGCTAGAATGACCACACTGGAGACCCATCCCCACACCGAGTCAGTACATGCCTCACTTCCTCGGGCACCAGGACTGTATTGTGTGGGGTACTCACCCCACCAGCAAGTCCCCCTTTTCCTTCTTGACAATTTACAGCCCCACTCGTTCCCTCCCCATCACTCTTCCCGGCTCCTGCTGGAGCGCCCTCCCCACGGCCTGGCCAGCCCTACCTCATGAACTTCTCCATGACCTCCTCCACCCACATCTGCAGTCTCAGGAAGCTGATGCCGTAGTGCCACCAGAGGCGGAAGAGGTTCAGCAGGTACCAGTCAGTCTCCTCCAGGACGAAGTGCTCCCCACTGAAGATGGCACTCCTGCCTACCACCTCTCGCCGGTGCCTCAGGCCTGAGGAGACAGCAGGGAGCCCCTCAGGTCCCTCTCTGAGGGCCCCACACAGGAGATCTAGCAGTGCATGAGCGAAACTGAAGGTCCCCCTGAAGGATGCAAATGGACTGGCTCCGTGAAAGGGACTAGAACACACTACGGTCTGTTCACCTGTGCTGCTTGTTTAAAACAGTAAACGGAAGCACTGGGCTGGCTGGTCCATCAAGACAGGTACATTAAAAGAATGGACCACATCCCATTGTTTTTTCCAAAAGGGATGAACTCAGCCATGAGCCAGGGGAATTCAGAGGTCATCCCAGAATGTCCAGGGACTGGCAGCCCCAGCGCCTGTTCTCATATGGCAGCCCAGGCCACCAGGCCCACCTGGAAGGAGGCCTGGGTCTTTGCAACCATCCACAGGCTACAGCTGGCAGTCCCAGAGCTGAAAAGAAGTAGAACAGGTGGCAGCGTCCCCAGTTAAAGATGTAGAAGCAGAGGAGTGAGGTTCTGCCCCAGGTCACGGGTTCTTGTTTCTTTCCCCCCGATTCCTGTCCCTGAGCCACCAGGTTCCCCATCCTGGAAGAAACATTCCTTCAGCATCCTTCTGGAGATATTTTCTGCCACCACTGGTAAGTACATATATATCTAGGAGTTACTCCTCCTCCGCCCCCACATACTATATGCTACCCTGCACCTTACTGACATACTGTGTCTCAGAGATTGTTCTATACTTGGACAAGAAGGACTTCCCCAATCTGGCTGCTGAACAGTCTGCTGTTTACCTAAATAACATTCACTCTCAGATCCAGGTGGGTGGGCAGGTGGGATATTTTCAACCTTTTGGTACTACAAACAATGCTGTAATGAATGGCTTTGTTTGTATACCACTTAGCACATCTGCAAGTACACCTGCAGGGTCACTTCTGAGGGGTAGAGTTTGTGTGTCACATGGTATACGTATTTGTGGTTTTGCTAGATGCTGCTGGCGTTGAATTAGCTCTGACTCATTAGTGGAGGTGCAGACATCCTCCGAGCCTTCCTCTCCTCAGGAGATACAACACCTGCCTTGTAGGAGGGTGGACTGGTAGGGAGGATTGGGGGTGAGGCGATGCCTACATACCGCCTAGAAGGATGTCAGGTACCTGGCAAGCACATAGCATGTGGAAGCCATTATGATCATGGCTACGGAGGGGAAGCAAATGGAAAGGGAAAGAGACTGGCTTGGGGGTCAAACCTGGGTTCTAATCCCGGCTCTGCAACTAACTCACTGTGTAACCTCAGGCAAGTTCCTTCCCCTCTCTGGTCTCAGCTGCTCCATCTGTAAAACGAGGAGATTGGGCCACATGACCTTCTGGCCTTGACCTTCGGCGCCATCTGGGAAGAGCCCAGTGGCTGCTGCCAGCCCTGGGTGCAACACACTGGAGCCCAGGACAGTGCACTCACCCAGCTGCTTGACGAAGTCCTGCATGTGCAGGCTCAGGGAGTGGAAGGAGGCGGCCCCGCTCTCATAGTGCTGCTTGTTGACTGAGATGGTGGCCAGGCGGCCGCCCACGGTCCCCTTCTCGAACACGTCGATCTGCACCCGGGGGCCAAAATGTTGCTGGAGGAAATGGGCCACAGCAGAGCCCCCAATTCCGGCCCCAACCACGGCTGTCCGCAGGCCCAGGAGGCAGGCAAGGTGAGAGACAGGGCATGGAGGGGAGAGACCAGGCACAGAGGGGGTGAGATAGGGCACGGAGGGGGGAGAGACAGGGCACGGAGGGGGGAGAGACAGGGCACGGAGTGGGGAGAGACAGGGCACAGGCGTGAGGCTGCAGGTCCCACCCTCCCAGCGCCCTGGGAGGTGGTTCCCAGGCCCTTGCATTTCATAGGCTTATCACATCTCAAAAATGAAATCTGAAGGCTAGTTCTTAGTAAACAAAGAGCAAAGAACAATCTGAAAATTGTCACCTACCGTGACCCTCATTTTATATTGAAAAAGACACATTAGCCAGAAAGAATCTTAAAATTCTGGATGGTCATTTAAAGAGAATACCTTTGGTTTTATATGAACTCCTTACATTGCCCCGATTATTTCACTACAAACTGGTGGAAACCTGGTCACTGGCAGATACTGTTAGGTTAGATCAGTATTTGGAAACCACTCCTGAACCTGGGGGTTGGCGAACTACCGCCTACAGGCCAAATCTAGGCCCACGACTGTTTCAGCAAACAGAGTTCTACTGGAATACAGGCAGCCTCTTTCTGCAGCTTGTTTATGGCTGCTTTCATGCCAGGGCGACAGAGGTGAGTGGTTGCCACAGAGACTGTATGGCCTGCAAAGCCTCAAGTATTTAATCCCTTGCCCTTTCCTGAAGAAGTCAGCCAACCCTTGTTCTAGTGCAATCTACCACCTGACACTTAAATCACTTCTACATCCGTGTTTACCATGACTGGAATGCACCCCATGATGGGTCGCTCACTACCACGCAGGGCCCTCTATACCGGTTTGGACTCTTGTTCCAGTTTCAGCTTTGAGGTCTTTTGGAATCTTATCATCCACTGTCTTTACTATGCCTCCTGCCTTCCTGCTATTTGCAAACTTGGTTCATATGCCATGAGTGTTGTCATCCAAGCCAGAGATAAAACTGTTGCACTGGCAATGTGGGCTGAGGGGTTACTAGGCACCATTGTCCAGACAGATCCTAATGTAGTTACTAATGCTCAATGGCACTGTGCAAAGACAGCAAGACAGCTATGAAGCTACTGAACCGGAAAGCTGCACCTCCCACAATTGGAGACACGGCCTTCTCATCCGGCAGTCTGTTCAAAGAGAAAAGGAGAGAAATCTAGTAAATCCTTACTAGACCCATACTGGACCCATGACGGACAACTAGCTACTGTCAAGAAGGCAAAAAATACTAGGTTCCTTATGATCTGGCCTCCATTTACTTATGTATTCCCTGCCCCAACCCCCAGTGCTCCACCTTCTTGTCCACCTTGACTTCTTTGGCCATGGAACCCAGGACTGCTCTCTCACACTTGTGCCTTTGCCTACATCGCTCCCTTTGTCGGGAATGCTGTCGCCTTTTGCCTTACTGCTTCTGTGGCCCTCAAGTGGAATTATAGCTTGGCTGGCTTGGCTCACTTACGACAGGTCAGGTATTACTCCCACATATTCCTACAGCACACGCTCCTCCCCTGGGGCCTTGTGCTTGGCACACTATCTTCCACTGGTCCGTTTAAGGACCAAGAGCAGCTCGCTACGCCCCCAGATCCTGGCAGGTGGTAAAGCTAAGTATTTGTTGCATCTTGAAAAAAGCAAACCACTTCCTCCTTTTCAGTGTTTACAAAGCCATGTCCAAGAGTGCCCTTAACCTTTTACGACCTTCCCATTTGCTTGCGACAGAGCCCCAGATTACCCATTTTTCAGAGGAACTAGTATCACGAGGCCTGGAGGCTGCCCACTGGGAAGCGGAAGAGCTCACCTCATTGAGGAGCAGCTCATTCAACACCCACAGACTGACACCCACTCTCTGATCCATGATAAGACGTGCTCAGGCACAAGACAATCAAGCAGGACTTTTGTCCTCTGGAGCTCATGCAAGGCATGGGCAGACTCCTGCACAATGACCTGCAATAACGTGTGACCAAGTCCAACAGGGTTCCAGGGAATCCTGAGGAGGAAGCAGCCAATTCTGCCTAAGGATGTGGACACAGGCTTCACAGGGGAAGTAAGTCTGAGCTGGACCCTGCAGGACACTCGGCTTTGCCAGGCAGCAAAGAGACATTCTCCCTAGCGAACAGGGTGTGGTGTGTGGAACAGTGGTGGCTGGGGGCGGGCGGGCATGAAGGGGTCCAGCATCACACAGAGGTACTCAGATTTGACCCTGCAGCAGTCTGGGAGTGAAGCCATCCTCAAAGGAAGCTCCTCACTCTCCTGTGTAGAGTTCAAACCACCAGGAGCGAACAGAGGCTTCTGTCAAACAGCTGAGGACAATCAAAAAAGCTACAGAGCATCTTGGCATTGCCAGGTGTCCTGCCCTGGGTGACCCCCAGGGCCAGGTGGGCAGGGCCAGCTGGGAATGAAGCAGGCAGAAAGCTCTGCACTGCTGGAGACAGGAATACTGGGGGAGGCCCCTTCTCCAGGGACCAGCTTGAAGTGCCTTGCTTGGTTGCCGGTTTCTGAGAGATGAAGGGAGTGCCCCGCAGACACTGCCTTACTTCCCCATCCTTCAGAGTCTGGCTGAAAATCCACATTTTCCCTGAGGCCTTCTGTGACCACTCTAGCTCTCAGGATTCCCTCTCCCCCCAAAAACCCTAAACCCTCAGTCCCAAACTGATTTCCCACGTTTTAGCCCTTTATGGTCTGAGCTGTGGTTTGCCAATGTAAAGAAGCCTTAGCATTGTACTAGCAGCCTAGTAAGTCTGTGGTGCTCCATGGGATACGCTTCCCTGCCAACAAGGGTGCAGAGAGGGCAGCTTGGAGTAGTGGGGACTAGATGCTAGATGCCTAGCATCTCTGCCCGTGGCAATTTTATATATTGAGGGACTGGAAAATCTTGAGGAGTCTTGTAGAGTTAAAAATGACAATCGTGAAGAGAAATAAACTGCAAACAAATGTGGAACTCTAGTCAATGACAGGCATGATGAAGTCTTTAGTCAAGTGCCCTAATGTCTGCAATTTATTTTAAAATGCACTAAGATGCAAGATGAATTAACGGGGCGGGGTGATAGTTACATAATAACGCCAAGTATAGGGGGAGTCTGCTAAGGGCAGAAGCAGAACCTCGGTGTTGAGAACACGACTGGTCACTGTGTATCCGGTTCCTTCAACTCTGCTGTGCGTTTGAAAAATCTTCGAAATAAAAATATCGTCATCGAGCCCAAGAGGACCGCTGTTAAAAGTTCTCCACTGTCATCCAGCAAATCGGTCTGCAGCAGACCTACTACCATGGGTTCCGTGTCCTATTCCCCCTGACGTCTGGGCTCAGATGTCACTTCTAGGGAGCCCAGGGCCCTCCCAGGGCCTGGAAGATGGGCCACCTCCGCGGCCTTACCACCGACTGCCCGGTATTGTGCAGGCTCTCCTCCAGACAGGAGCCACGGAGCACCGGGCCTGCCGCGCGGACGGCCCTCAACAGACCTCGAGGGACCACATCACCCGGACCCGGTGCCCGCCGTGGTCCGTCGGGGCAGCTGGCGAAGGGCCAGGTGCACCGCAGGCGCCCAGGGCCCCCGGACCTTCTGGTGCGACGCGGCCGGGCCAGCCCCACGCCTCTTTTCCGCCCCGGCGGCCTCGCCACATGCCCATGCCCCCCGGGGTCAGCACCCCGCCTGCGGCCGGCGCCTTCCGCGGCCAGGCCCAGTCCCTCGCCTCCTCTGCAGCGGCTGCTCGCCCGCGGACCCCGGCCTCGCCCGGCGGGCCTCCCCTGCCCCCCCCCCGGCTGCTCGCGGCGGCGCGCCCTTCTCCCCGCAGCCCTCCCCCGCGCCGCTCCCCTCCCGGTCCGCTCCCCTCCCGGTCCTTCCCGCACCGATTTTGCTGGGCCGGGCGTCCCCGCCTGTGGCGGCGGCGGCCAGGAGCGCGGCCAGCGCGGCGAGGAGCCGGGCAGCGCGGGCCATGGCGGGCGGCGATCCGAGGCACGCCGGGGCGCTCGCTCCCGCGGGCCGCGCAGGGCTCGCCGCCCCGCCCCGCCCCGCCCCGCCCCGCCGCGCCGCGCCCCGCCGCGCCCCGCCCCCAGCCCCTCGCGCTGCCCCGCCCCCGGCCCGCCGCCCGCCGCCTCTCATTGGTCGAGCCGCCGTCCCTCTGCAGCTCCGCGCCCTCATTGGCTGCATCCGTCCCGGGCAGGCTCCGCCGGGCGCCGCTTCCCCGGCCCGCCTCCCGGATGCGGGCCCCCCATTGGCTGGCTCGTCCTGCCCCCGCGCAGGTGCCCGCGCTCCGGGTGCTCAGCATCAGGACCAGGGCGGGGGAGGTGGAAGGGGGAGGCGGAGAGCCGGAGCTGGGACGGCGTCGGTGCGAGCCCGGCAGCGCCAGCTCCCAGCTCTCCAACGTGCCGTCTCGGGGTGTGCCTCGGCTTCCCTGCTCTCCCTTTCTAGGTGGTTGTGACAGTCATGTGAGATAGGGGACGTGAGGCCACTTGGCAGTGTCTGCAAGCGCAGCAAATTGCTGACCCAGCGTGTGCAGCCATGGTGGCTGGGCGCTCCCCTCCGCGTGCGTGGAAACCAGGCCGGATGCTTTCGGGCCTGCCGTCCCTGACGGGCGCTTGCAGTTCCCACATGCAGTTGGAGTCTCTGCCTTCTACTTACACAAAAGGGAAGGGTTTCACCCAGTCTCCAGCAGAGGGAGGGAGGGGAGGGAGGGGGGATAAGCTCCCGCTGAGCTTCACCCTCTAAGAAAAGAAGAGCAGCTCAGGGTGGTTAGTTCGTTACACGGTGAGGGGCAGATTCCTGGAGCAGAAAATAAAGTTGGGGAGGAGTTTCAGGATAAATAAGGAAAACTCATTCAATTCAATCAGAGTATGGCTAAGAGAAGAAACTGAAAGGATTCCGAGGAGAGTAAAAGAGCATACAGCTGGGATTCTAAGTCAGCTTTCTGAGTCATAAAGGGCCAAACTGGTTACTAGTGAAGTGGTAGATGAGCAAACATGCATTTCTTATAATCTCAAAAAAAAAAAAAAGATCTTTTTGGCAATGTTTATGTCAGAACGTGAAACTTTTTAAGTTCATTCCTAATGGTTCAAGATATTCCCTTAAACTTTTTTTTTTAATTTTACTTATTTATGCATGAGAGACATAGAGAGAGAGAGGCAGAGACACAGGCAGAGGGAGAAGCAGGCCCCATGCAGGGAGCCCGATGTGGGACTCGATTCCAGGACTCGATCCCGGGACTCCAGGATCCCACCCTGGGCTGAAGGCGGCACTAAACAGCTGAGCCACCCAGGCTGCCCTCCCTTAAACTTTTTGTTAAACAAGCATTCATCACTTTGTGCAAAGTTCTCTTATGCACTGGTTTAATCCGATTCTTGTAGTGTTTTGGTAGGGTAAGTTTAAGAAACTTTAAAATTCAGCTCGCCCCCCTCCAAACAAAAGGTCTCACATATTTGTTACTGAACCAACGTACTGGTATAGAAGCATAGGAACAGAGAAAAATCACTTTCCCAATAAAACATGGCAATTGTTAGGTAGTACTGGTTTACACTAGGAGACCAGGAGTGAAGCTGGGTGACTCTTATCACTCTATTGCTGCATAACAAACTACCCCAAAACTTAGTGGTTACAAGTAACAATCATTTATTTTGCTCATAAATCTGTGCTTTGGGCAAGGCTTGGCAAGATCCGCTCATCTGTTCCATGAGGTGTCAGATGGGGCTGTTCCAGTAGGGGCTGGAGGAGCCTCTTTCAAAATGACTCAGATGGTTGACAAGATGGTGTTGGCTATCAGCTGAACTCTCAGCTAGGGCTCAGTTCCACTCCACAAGCTGCTTCAGTTTACTCTTAATTTGAAGACCGAGTTCTAAGGGTGAGTATCCAGGTAGGATGGTTTGGGTGCAGAAACCAGCAGTCACTTCTCCTACATTCTATTGGTCAACCACAAAGTCCAGATTCAAGATTTGGAGCCATGTTTTAAAACCTCCACCGTGAACATGACCGAATGGACAGTCTGAGCAGATAGAAGAGTACACTAACACTGGGAATATGGGAAACAATGGATTGGGGAGCCAGGGTATACAGAGAAGATTGGAAGAGTAATGAAATCGAAGACCAAACTGCTGGAAAGGCTGGTTCCAAAGGCCACTCAGCTAAGATGTTGGGTATGTGGAAACCAGAAGCAGATATATAGACAAAGCCACGCAGAGCTTGGCAAGGACTGGTGGGAGCTGAAGATCTGAGTAAGGGCACGTGTCAGTAATCTGGTTTAGAGGATCAGAAATCCAGCAGTTCAAGTGAAGTGGTTGAAGCAGGTAAGGCAATTAGAACCAAGAAGCAAGTATAAGGAAAATAAGGCAATGCCAGAGAGGAAGGCAGAAACAAAAGCTCAGATCTAAGAAATAATATGAAACAGAACGAATCAAGGCCAAGGAGGTGGGAAAGCAGACAAAACTTCAACACCAAGCATCGAGTAGGTGCACTCGGCTTGGATGCTGTGGGATCTCAAGGTGCCTCTGTTGAGTGTCGACAAGGTGAGTCAGCAGTCAATGAAGTGACCATGTCAATATAAAGGCAGACGAAGACACTAAACACATGAACTGCAGTTATATCAATTCAGGTTTTATTGAAGTTGCTTCTGAATATTCTATTTTATTCTTAGTTTTCCCCATTTGATTTGCTTTAGTGTACAAGAACCTTTTTCACTTATTAGATCCTTTTGACATGAAAGAGCACCAATTAACTTATCAGTAAACTGATTCCCTTATGGCAGTGAAGAAAATCTGTAAAAGGTTTATAGAATCCATGTACTGAAACACCACGATCCCCTCTTCAAGTGAGCCAAAACTTCCTTACATATCCTAAGATGTCTTTTCACTTTACCGTCAAGATAAAAATAATGAAGAGCATGGACACAATTTTCTTGTTCCTCCAGAAAGTGTGGGTTTCTTGCGTTATGGTTAAAAAAACACAGAAAAACCAGAAGCTTGAAGGAAAACAAGTCACTGTGATTGCTTAAATTACAATTTTTATAGAGAAGCAGCACTTAACCAGTCTTCTTCGTCTTTCCCTAGACTTTAGGCAGCTATAAAAAAAATAGGCAAAACAACATGTATAAGAAAAAGTAATAAAAATAAATATTTGAGGGCCTATTGTAGTAGACAATTTACACATTTCATTTATCCTCACAATACCGTGAGGGAAGTATAATCATTGTACAAACAAGGAAGCAGGCTCAGAAGGGTGAAATGACTGGAGCCCATTGTCACACAGTGACAGGGCTGGGATTTATGTTCAAGTCTATACCTCCAGAGCCTATGCTCTATTATGCTGCTCTGGCTCCCAAGAGCCTAAGTTTTTGAGATTCTTACCATTATAGCTCCATCTTCTAAATTTTACACTTTTAAGTCTGTGTAACTACTGAATAATAAAAGAACCTAAAATTATTCTCAATCTACTTGCTAAATAGAAGCCTGCAAGGAATATTAGAAAACTCTTCAAGTACTCAGAACATTCCATACCTAAAATTATGGTTGTTCAAACTCACTGATAATGACAGCTAGTAATTCAAGAACACATAGGTAATTGTAATTGGCTCCTTTTCTTGTCACCTCTGTCAATCTCAAAGGAATGAAGGCAAAAAAAAAAAAAAAAGACAAATTCCTATTGCGAAATCTGACTGCTCATTAAATTTACAGTATGCACTTAGTGGAAAGCCCAAAGAGGTTCTGGTTTTCAAATCTTCCCACCAGTCTTTTGTTTGCTTCTTAAAAGCACATATTTGTTTTTTAAGTGTCAAATTCTGGTGGAGATGGCAGGGCCCATTGGGGGATGGCTTTATTGATACATATGTGGAGTGTGCTAGAACTATCTATGATGTCTAAGAGGGTAACTTTACCACTCCATGGAATGGGGTCATAAAGTTCTAGTAGAAATGGATTTACTTCATGGATAAGTAACTTAAAAACCTAAACCTCTGCAATCTGGACATCTAACAATATTTGTCCACTGGGGACATATTTGCATGTTCACTACAGAACTGCTGGATCTTAAAAAAAAAAAAAACAAAAACGAACTGTTGGATCTTAAATGATTAAAGTTAAAATCTAGTTGTTCTTATTCAAGTTCTCACTGAAATTTAGTTTACTAGTTTTAGACATTTTTTGAGTCCAGTCGTAAAAAGATGTTTTCATGCTTAAAAAGCTGAAAGAGATGAGATCATCACTAAGGCCTCTTCTAACATTAAAATCTCCATAACTGACCTCTTTTATAAAGTCTGATTGGTAGGTCATTCACTTGCCCATTTTGTTAGGCAAATCTTTTAAAGGACACCAGCTAAGTAAGACTGAAAAAAAAAAATAAACACACAGGCTCATTAATTCTAGGTCAATACATAAAAGACAACTAAATGTTAGTATGTGTGACATAAGACAGATACAAAAACTAGAAAATAAAGCATTATCAGTATGAGAGGTAGTGATTTGTGAGTACAAATAAAAAAAAATTCAGCATAACTAAATGAAATGAAAAATTGTAAGAACCTAACATTTTTGTCCTGACCATCTCCCTGCATCATCTAATAAAGGATGATGAGACAAATCTGACAAAGTGGAAGATTTAAGGGAAGTGGAGAGAAAAGTTGTAGGTAAATTATCTACATAAACTGATTTGGGTCATTAGCTATCAGCGCTGCCTTGGTTTCCCTGAAATGATTAGGGAGGCTGAAAATAATTGGAAGGTAACTTAGCAAAGAAAGCACAAGGTTTCTA